TACATGAATTATTCATTGGAAATCTCTGAAGGTTCATATCTTCATTGTCAATTGATCATACTTGAAATGCTTAGCACTGAACTTATCAATAAAAACAAAACCTGAGGGCCTTGTCGAATAAAGATCTTTAATAGAAATAAAATCTATCGTCGAAATGCTTGCTTGAGGCTTTGTTACGGTTTGATAAAGTTTTGTCGGTGACTATGGTAACATAATTAGCAGACACGTATGTGTGTGTTGAGTACATTATTGTGTGTTTATTATATTTGTATGTATGTACGTCTGTATGTGTGTATTGTATGTGTTCTTGTGAGTGTAAGTTTGTATTGATGCTGCTAGCGAGCGTAAGATTTTTTGCTAGTCCAACGTCTCAGCATGGTATCGAGTTAATTATTTTGATTAATCAATCGCTTAATGTCTAAATTGATGGACGAGTTCGTTTTGTTCACCCAACTTGTAAGTGAACTGTTTGTTTGTCGTTCTGTTCACCATATGTTCATTTTTTGCGTTTAGCATTCTACGTTTATAAACGCTTTTGTTACAAAAGCAAACAACTCTTGTTTGTAATGTAAATTCTTTGCTTGGTTGGTTGAGATAATTTATTTTCAATAAAAAGTTCAAACAGAAGTTTACTACAGAGTTAATAACAATTTGATATGGTGAATCGATATATGATTATTTTTTGAAGTTTTGGAACTTTTTTCCTTCCAAGACATCAACTAAATGCATCAAATACTGTGAAATAAAACATTTGACTGTATATTCAGTTTACCTGACTTCGTGAAAATATTCGAATGTGATTGTTGACTCTACAAAAAGTTCCATCTACAGCTGCTGTGTGTGTGTGCGTGTGTGATGGTGTGAACAATGAACACACAGCACGATCCACCGAGTGCACAAAATTATTTCTAATGAGTGAAAGAAAAAATAAATAAATGAAAGGTTTGCATGAATGATTGAACGAAAAACAAATGAATAAACTTGGCGAACAAATGCATAATTGAATGAATAAATTGAATTTGCAAATTTAGACAAGAGATGATGAAAATTAGAAAATAATTTATATTAAATATAATAAGTTATATTAGAGTTCTCAGGTTATCTGAAAATCCACTTTGGATAAATTTTCATGTTTAACCAAACCGAAATCAGTTTTCACTTGGTAGCGATTAAGCAGAAATAATTAGTAAAAAGAAGAAACACTACAGAAGGCAGCAGACAAAAGATTTCAGCTTGGTACACACTCGTCGGTTCAACTCTCCGCATAGCACAAACACAAAAGGTACATCTGCAGTCAGCATGGGCTCTCAAAAGCACCTTTCACTCAACTTTTTCCCATGTACCTAGATAATAATACAAATGAATATAAATATAAGACAATCTTCTATATAAAAAATGGCGAACGTTGTGTGCGCTGTGCACTTCTGCAACTCAATGTGCTCATTTATAAATGTAGTAAAATTCTACTTAAAATTCTTCAACTTAAATATAGTAAAAATAAATTTATATATTTTAATTTACATTTATATATACGTCTGTATGTGTGTGTGTGTGTGTGTGTGTGTGTGTGTGTGTGCGTGTAGTGCCTGAAATAATTTCATTATATTTAATATACGATGTGTGTGTTTAAAAAATAACAAAAAATAGAAATACAAGAACGTCAGCCAGCCAAATGAAAACTTATTAATTTATAATGGCAGTAATAACTTGGTGTTAATTATACGTAACGACAACCACGCTTAATAACTATATATGTGTATGTATGCATGTATGTGACAATAAGACAACAATAACTCACAGTCCCTCATTAGAACTTCACTTGATTTCGCATGATTGCATATAATTAGTGCAGGTTGTGAAACCAGCATAAAAGAGGTAGGGGGCACCATCGACCCAGCATAACTGACACTCCACACACAATACACACCAAACACACACCATACACACTCCACACACCCGGTACCCACCACACACTCCACACACACTCCACATGCAATTGGAGCAAGGAGGCACATGCTCATCATAACCTCGTCCTTTCATCATCATTCTTTCATTGACTCTAACGGGTTTGTGCCGCTTCTATTAACAGCATGTCCTTGAGGACTTTTTCTAGCTTTATGTTTTATTTTATTTTTATTTTTTGATTAGATTTTAGATTTTATGTTTTTTATGTTTCTAGATTTTATGTTTTTTTGCTCGCTTGTGTGTTCGTGGTTTTTTTTATTTGATTAATTCTTTGAATCTAAAATTAACACAATATCGCAATTATCTCAACATATTCATACATCAACAGTCTTGGATGAACAACACTGCGGAAGCACAAAACTGAATATTTATTTTAGAAGTGCACTTCATCTTTTGAATCTCTACTCTACCTGTCGATGGAAGCTGTTGAAGAGTGAGTGCCAGTGCCAACAGGAAGAATTTGAATTGATCGATCCAACTTGTGGCAATTATTTTTCGTATTTGCATGTAACGAGAACAGCTCTAAGTTTGGAGCATTGTGTGTTTGTGTGTGTTGTTCTGTGTTTGTGTGTGTGGTTTCATGTGTTTGTGAGTGTGTTGTTTATTGTTTGTGTGTGTGTGTGTGTGTGTGTGTGCCGTTTATTGTTTGCGTGTATCGCTTTGTGTTTGTGTGTGTGTTGTTTTGTGTTTGAGGGAGTTTTAATGCTTGCTTTGTGGTTGAATAAGATGTTTAAGGACATCTGAATAACTATTGTAGATTGGAAAAATACAATATTTTTCGAATTTTTTAAAAATTGGATACTTTAAAAATGCAAAACTAACCAATGTATTTTTTAACACGTATATTTTGCCAGCTGATGATAATCACCAGTGCGCTACAAAAACGAATACGCCACACATTATACATGACTCCTCCCACTCACCAGCCTAACAACCAATCACATTTTTTGTTTTCTACCTGGCCAATTTATTTTATTTTATTTTTAAACAAATATTGGCAGTTACTTTGTTTGAGTTCTCAAGACTCATTCATAAATGTGGTTAGAAGAACTTGTGATGATCAGGTTCAGTTCAGAACTAGCTGACACTTGTGGCCAAAATTTGTGGGAATGACATCCAAATTGTATTTTTGGTTGCTGCCATACAATTGGCAATTTAAGTTTTTTGAAAGAACTAGCATAAAACTTTGAAATTTTCAAACAAAAATTTTATTTTCTAAAAAATTTCACCGATACATATATTTCAACCGTTTCCTGTCAGATTATTTATTTGCGAAGGATCATGAAATTAGCGTGGTTCTGGAGTTAAAAAAAAGTTATTATACGCGTGAAAAAACCAGCAATATTAAAAATAAACATATGAATACGCATGCAAATATACAAACAAACAGGCTACCTATCAAGTAAAAAAACAAATTTTCATACATACGTATATACATATGAATGTACATATGAACATACACAAAATACAAAGACAAAAGATATACAATAAACAAAACACACAAATACACATACACAAATATACAAACATACAAAAAATACAAAGCTACAAACATAAAGACATTGCCACAGAAACTCAGCACACTTAATGAAACTCTCACAACTACACAAACACACAACCTCACAAACACACAACCTCACAAACACACAACCTCACAAACACACAATCTCATCAATACACAAACATAACAAACAAAAATGCGTTCTTTTGACCTGCGCCATATTTTCAATTACTACAGATGGAACACACGCACATCAACAATCTGACATCATACAAATATGAGACAAATGAATGTGTTTGCGTGTGTACATGCTTTCATTTCATTCACATATTCATTTGTTTATATTTTTTGTATCATTATATTTTTCAATATACATTCATATTAATAAGCATTTATATAAAGATATATAAAATTTATTTTTTTTATATGTGACATGCATGTATACACACACATAACTAAAATAGTGCACACACAAACACACACGCGCACGCACACAAACACTTATACACACGCACGCACGCACGCACACACATTCACACACAAATACAGTACACGCATGTGCATATTGAAGATCGTGAACTTTTTATTGTTTTTCAACGACAATTATTTGTGACAACAACAAATATCTACCCAGCTGGAACAACAACAATGCAACCAGATCAACAAGTTTATGCTAATATTACCAATGAAGAATGAATCATGAACAAAGTTTGGCACAAAAGTTTAGTTTTGCGTCAGCATATATGGCGATGAAGAAACAACGAAACCCTGCCAATGTTTCCAACTTTCCATGTTTCTAGCGTTGTCACCATTACCATTAGAAGTGGCGTTGTTGTTAATAAAATAATTTAATTCTGTAGAGTAGAAAACATCTTGTCAAATCATATCTACATTCCTGGATCGATGCAAGTTGAGCCGTGTTGTACTGTATGGCTGTATGGCTGGCTTGCTGGCTGGTGCAAATCATCAAGAAAGAAGGATTATATTGGATCAATTGGGATAAAATAAAAAAAGCTACGAAATAAAATATCTCGGAATCTAACTTAAATGTCTGCTTAATAACAATAAAAAAATCTGAAAAATAAAGATTCTATTGATTAAAAAATTCTGAAAAATAAAGATTCTATTGATTGCCATATGGGGATGCTAGCACCTGAAGTAATGAAGGTACTTCGGGGGGTGATGATGACACCAGTATCACATACATCAGTGACGACGACAACGTCGATGACGATGGTAGTGACTAGCATGATAGCAATGTTGATAGGAGGACGGCATTAATAACGTCATCACGCACGCAACCAGCCACCGAACACTCAACATTCAACACTCAACATTTCCAAGCAGTTCATTGATAACTGCTGACAGATAATTATCATTTCAGCTGATAGCAAGCACTGTTTCAGAAACAATTAAACATAGATAAATGAGTGTTTATAAATATATATTTCTGCGGCCATTGGGCACAAGCAACAATATTTTTCTTAATTTCGTCTTTACCTAACTTTTGATTAGTTGTCGTTGGAATTCAAAAATGAACGAACAAAAAACTGGCACAAAAATCTATGATTTAAAGTTTGACATATTTCAAAATGGGGAAATAAGAAATAAATATACCACAATCAGCACAGTTACAAGTAGACAAAGTAGTACACACATACACGTAAATTGTACAAAAAGTACCAACCACAAATGCTGTAACCTAAGATCTAACAAGCAGTGAAAGGATCGAAATTATTATACTATTGTTATGTTCATTAATTCTAATTACATTAACTAATTATTGAAAATAATACTCATTTATCGAATTCGTATGCGCCTTAAACATTTTTATTATGACTGTGTGTGTATTGCACTTTGATTAACACGGATTAACACTGATTAATGTTCACATTTAATTGGTCTGTAAACCTCTAATGTCAACGCATTTCTGATTTAAAAAACTTTGAAGAAAGAATTGTTTATAAACCCTAGTATAAAGGTGATTTTCTGCCTTGAACAGGTTTTTCGAATAATATTGACAGGAGCAATCGCAAGAGTAATTTAAAGAAGAAATCAAATGAAGCCAATAGCAGAGATTATGAAGATCAATTTTTTATCCAGGCCTAGTCTTGTGAGAGTCAGTCGTTCAATGAAGTTCAACGAAGTTGGCAATGTTATAATATGTACTTGTTAATGTAATGTAACAATGTCTGACAGCCATCAGCTCAGCAGCGCTACCAAATGAGTTACATACATTGTTATATCGATATCATCACAATACTACATATCACACAAACACACACGCGCACGCACGCACACACACACATTCACACACTTAAATGAGTGATTCAACATGCATTCTTGAAGCAATTAAACAAGTGCTTGTGAATGAATGAATGGATGAATTAATGAATTAATAAATGAATGAGTGAGTGAGTGAGTGAGTGAGTGAGTGAGTGAGTGAGTGAGTGAGTGAGTGAGTGAGTGAGTGAGTGAGTGAGTGAGTGAGTGAGTGAGTGAGTGAGTGAGTGAGTGAGTGAGTGAGTGAGTGAGTGAGTGAGTGAGTGAGTGAGTGAGTGAGTGAGTGAGTGAGTGAGTGAGTGAGTGAGTGAGTGAGTGAATGAACGAGTGAGTGAGTGAATGAATGACTGAATGAATTATAGCAAGATTGACTGCGAAAATGAACGAACAAATGAAGGAGCAAACGATTGAATGATCGGCGAAACCGTGAATAGATGAATGAATGAAAGAATGATGAGCGAAGGAATTAACAAATGAAGAAATCATGTCGTTTGATTGAATTGACAGGCAGGTGAATGCATGCATGGGGAGGGGTGTAGGTTGATTGACGTCGGCTTTGTTGACGTCACGCTTTCTCTACTCCTGGTGCTCCTGATGATGATGATGATGATGATGATGAGGATGATAATGATGACAGTGAAAATATATCATTCTGACAACAACAACAACAATAACAACATATCATTCTGACAACAACATCATCAACACCAACAACAACAACATCATTAACAAACACAACAAAAACAGCCCTATTGACAATGTTAATGATTATGGTAATTATAATGGTGAGTAGAAATGTATTTGTTGACGGTGATAATTTTTGCAATGATAGAAATTGTTGACGATCGCACATGGTGAAATAATACGCGATGAGGAAAAAATACCTCAACAAATTAGAAGAATGGAAAAAAAGAATTTTCATAATAATTGAGAAAAATTTAAGGATGGAAATAACTTGACCAGGGAAACAATTGCAGATTGCCAGTGGTGTTGTGGTGAGTAACAAATCGTTAAGACGCTTCGTCGGAGGTTTCGGTCTCATTTACTTCGAAGGAGATGAAGCTGAACAAAACTAAACTAAATCCATTTTCTAAATAGAGTCTGTTTGTTTTGTACTGATTTTCAAATTGATGCAACCGTTGGAACGAAATAAGCAAGGACGGTTTATGCAATATTTTCAATATTTCATGTAAGCTTACTTTTGAAAAATTATCTTTTTTGTGTCATGCTCATTAAAACCGTAATAACACAAAAGGTTTTAAGTTTCGAGAGATTAGCTAACTTTTTTAAAAAAAACGGACTAATGGAAAGCTGTTTTTTTTTTAAACAAAGTTGGGTCAAAGTGGAGAAGGAATTATTTTGGCATTATTATTATTTTGTTTTTATTTAAATTAAATTAAATTTCAATTTGTTTAATTTTATTCACGGTATTATAAAACGAAGATTTTCTGATGTTGCAATTATTTTTAAGAAATTTATTTCCGTCAGCGTCAGTATTTTCTTTTTCTGACTCAAAAACAATTAAAAATTTTTAAAGAAAGTTTCTTTTAAAGATTATTTTCATTGATGAAAATAAAATTTTTGATATGAAATCAAATTTGATTAATACAGTTGAAGAACATAAAAGTATGTACAGTCAACGCAATTCAAAAAAACATAGGCAACAAAACGTTAAATAATTTGATTCAACTTAAATTAATTAAAGTACATTCAGAGACTAATCGATTGAAAGAACAAAAAATTATAAATAATCAGTTCAGACTATATAATTATAGTCTGGTATAGTCTAGTATATAGATTATATTTAATCAAGTAAAAAATACTTAACCAAAAATAAATGTAAAAAGAATAATCTCATCAAACTTTGTAACTGCTTCAACATCATCAAAACCTCGTTTCTATGGCTGTTCATCAACGTTGCTTGCTATATCATTATATCATTTATATCTTTATAAATTCATCCTTTGTGATATCTTCATATCATTGTTTTAAGAATAATTATTACAATACAATTCAGGTCTGACTATGTTTGTTATATAAATTTAGGTATGAATAATTAATTATTTTTCACAAAAAAATATAATTAAAACATAGTTTACAAATATAAAATCTATAAAAACTAAAAAACACATTTATAAAATACATCATAACATACATATATAACGAAACAAAAACACAAGTTCGAAGGACATTAATCAAACGGTAACAAAAATTATCAATAAATTAAATATAAATATGTAAATTAATTAATTAGTAATACATTACTTATAAATTTAATATAATGTAACATTGACTGCCATCACTCAACCTATGATACCATGTCTATAGATGTACAGTACACGCAATACTTATGGTGGCAAATATGTTAATACCTGTTATAATGTAATGTGAGGACTAAGTTGTTTTTAAACCTTCCTAGTTTGAAGCGTAATGATTTACGCGAAACATCCAAAAATTACAAAAAATATACTTTATTTTCACTGAAAATATAAATACTAAGTGTAAACGATCGTATGAAAAATATGGGATAATATATAAAATTTTCAGGCACTTTTGATTCAAGACATATATAAACGGCATTTTTTAATGAAATTTTTGGAGAGGATTTAGATGCTAAAAATCGAAATAACAAATGGCTAAACAACAAAATATTGACAATTACATTTTCTATTTTGAGTTTCGTTGACTGTAGAAACATTGTCAGCGTGGGTCAAAAATAATTTATTGACGTCAACAATCGCCATTCATCATCATTTCCATCATTTCTTATGTTTTTACTCACAATTCATACGTTCACCCTCGTCAAACAACACATCACTCCACGGCTCTCATAGGTTCGGCGCCACTAGCAAAGAATGGTTCCCTGTTATTGAGAAGCATCATTGCCCCCCTCCTCTGACACTTCCTCACGTGCTTCTCGAGAGTGGTGGCCAGGGAGAAGGGCATGGCACAGTACCGACACTGCAAGGTGTCCTTACCTGCTCGTCTGTGCGTCTTCATGTGCCTGGTCAGTTTGCTGGACTGTGCACAGGCGTACGGACACAACCTGCACTTGTAGGGTTTTTCCCCGGTGTGCGAGCGTCGGTGGACAGTGAGGTTGCTGCAGTTCTTGAAAACTTTGCCGCAAAACTCGCACACGTCGTTTCGTTTTTTGGCGACTGTCGTAGATGTCGTCGAAGTTTCTGTGGTTGTAAAAGCTGCGGGAGTGGGTGGTTTTGTGGACGTGGTTTGGTGTGGATAGCTGAAGAGGGGTTGGTTGAAACTGGATTGGTGGGCAGGGTGATGAATGTTGTTGTTGTTGTTGTAGTAGTTGCTAATGTTGTTGTTGATGTTGTTGTTGATGTTATTAATTTGAATTTTGTGTTCTAGACCGGAGTTTGTAACTGAGGAGATGAAAGCGGACGATGAAGCATCTTCATTTTTCCCGTTCAATCTGGGATTCAGTGGAAACATTGGAAATGGCAACAATGACCATGGAAATGCAAGCGAAAAGTTCTGATAGAAGGGATTCATAAGTGAAAAGTTGCCGTTGGTGGTGGTGGTGCTGCAAAAATTTAAAGTGCTGTTGCCATTGTTATTCTCTCTGGTGCTTTTGTTAATGTTGTGATAGTTGTTGTCGTCGCTCTTGTTCATGTTACCGTTGTGGAAATTACTAATGTTTGAAAATTTCGAGGACGGATATAAGATAGAATTCATCGAATGCATGTGGCGCATGCTTTCCTGGAATGCGGGAGGTGGTGGCGATAAACTTACGGTTGGATTTGAAATGTCAGCGTACTTTAGGCAAACGTCAGCGCTAGACAGAGTTTCCAGTTTTGAATTTTTAGATGTTAGATCAGCTGCTTCCTGGTCTCGACGCTGCAACAAGTTCTTGTCGCTATTTCTATTGTTGCCAGCGTAATCATGAGTATTATTTTTTACATGATCCAAACGATAGTCCTCGCTGCAGTTAACAACGTTATTATTCTCCTTCCCCAAACCACTCACCTTTTCAGTCGTTGCTTCTGAAATTCGAAAAAAATTTTTTTTTTCGTCATTTTCTAAACATTCCAAATTTAAATAAGTTTCGGCAAATAATTTTTTTATATTATTGATCGGATCGGAATGTGGAAAGGTCTGCAAGTGATTATTTTGTACGTGAAGTACAAGGTCCACGTAGGACTCGCAAGACTTGCTGCACATGTAACATCTGACGTCTGCTTGGGAGTCCACAGTAGGTTTGAAGCCGCCACTGCCACCGTCGCGAATGAGGCAGCTGCTGTTGTTGGTGTCGTTGCTGCAAGTTCGATCGGCTGCTAACTTTTGCAGCTGATTAGAAAAAGAGTCATAATGAAAATTATATGATGAGAGTGGCGATGGAGAAGATGAGGTGGATGATGACTGCTGGAATGGAGATGTTGCAGATGCTTTGGAAGATGGCGAGGAGAAGCTTGTTTTACATTTTCTGGCATCTTTGGTTGAAACATCTCCATTTTTGTTAACATTTGTTGTAGCAGTTTTTGTGAAAGTGCCTTTATTTGTGTTATCGTGTTTCTTATTCACGTTAGCATAATGTTTACTATCAAATTTTACATCTGAGCTAGAAAATTGTTGACTTTTAGCTACTGGAAGTTTTGTTTGAAATTCATTTTCTTTGACATTATCCGCACTAATTTTGATACTTCCATTACTATCTTCAATTCTGTTTTCGTTTTCATCGTCGTCATCATTGTAATCATTATAATCATCGGTCAAATAGCTGACGACACTCTCACAAAAATTATTTTTATTTTTGAAATTTGCTTCATGAACACTTGCCGTTTTGAAGATATTCAACTTGTGCTTGAACTGAACATGTTGCAGTAACTTCCAGGCCGTTGATGAACCTTCGCCACATAAACTGCATACAAATCCATCTTCAGTGGGTGACGTTCGTTTTCTTACGCTCTCATCAACATCTTTCTTCAATTCAACAACACCTCTAACGACGTCATGTTTTCCGTTCACGTCGTTGTGGTTTATAGTGTTGTGGCTGTTGTGGCTGCTGTGGCTGCTGTGGAAGATGTGGGTGGAAAAATCAGCGTTGAGAAGATTGTTGTTGTTATTGAACTTATCATTATTAACATTATTGTAATTACTATTATTATTGTTGTTGCTGCTGTTGTTGTTGTTGCTGCTGTTGTTGTTGTTGCTGCTGTTGTTGTTGTTGTTGTCGTTATTAAAGTTATTGTTGCTGCTGATGTTGCAGCATTTTGTGGCGCACGAACGCACCTTGTGTCTCAGAAAGATGTGCAGACACGCCAGTGGAAACCTCATCATGCAGTCTCCGCATGTAATGTAATCGTCGTCATCATCTCCTTCCTCGTCGTCATCACCATCATCATCGTCTTCATCGTTATCATCAGCAATATCCTCGTTATCATTGAGACCATTGGCATTGTCGCTCACGTCTTCATCATCATACTCATCATTTTTTATGCTGTCAAATCCGATATGAGATTTTCCATCAAGTGCTCGATGTTTCCTCAAAGTGAGATCCTCTGAAATAAAATTAATTAGCACTTTATCCATTTAATTCAATTTAAATAGATACATTTTAAAGCTTATCTAAAACTAAACAGATGAAGAAAATTTAACAAAAATAAAAAAAAGTACA